CGTCGAAGTAGAGCACGTCCATGTACTCGCTGATGGCCTTGTCGATCTCGCTGGCGGTCTGAACTGGCACGGCATGCGTCTGGCACCAGCTGTCGAAATTCCGGTACGAGGTCACGAAGTGCACGTTGGACGAGGCCCTGATCTTGCGCGCCTGCAAGTACGTGAGCGCTGTCCCGGTCGGCTGCACCAAGGTAGTGGCGCGTGCCGTCCTGGTCCGCTCGGCCGCCAGCCTCGCTCTCCTCGCTGTAGCTCGCTCCGCTGGGGCTGGAGTTGGGCGAGCTGGCCGTGGGCTCCGACTCCGAGTCGCTGTCCGAGGAGTCGTCCGGCTGCACGCCGATGCCCCCCCGGTGGAGCCCGAAGCCCCCGGCCAGTGCCGCGGGCGCCGCGGCGTCGCCGAGGCCGGCAAGGCCTGGGTCGCGCCGCCGCGGGCGCCCTTCCGCGGCGAGCTCCTCCGCAGCGGCTCGCCGTAGCGAGCCATCGTCGGGCTCCGGTGCAGAGCGTCCTCCGAAAGAGCGGAGGTCGAGGCGGGCGTCCTGAGCCCTGGCTGCTGGGAGTCTCGACGGGGCGTCTGCTGGATTCAGCTCTGAAGGGATCCACCGCACTGTGATATCGATGTTGGAGAAGATGGAGATCGCAGCAAGCCGACGAAGCACGAGGTTAAGCGACGGCACCGAAGATCTCCCCTTTCCCGATGCGAGCACCGGCCCCATGTTGTCGCATAGCAGCAGCAGGCGACGCCCATGGTTGGCAGCGTTGCGAACGAAATGGCGGACCCCCATGACCAGAGCCCCCCCCTCCAGGATAACGATGTCGGCGGCCCTGTTGAACCGTCCATAGAAACAAACCTTCCAGTCTTCTTGAAACCCCAATATACTCTTACCGATCTCGAAAAACTTCTGCTCCTCCTCCCAAGTGATGACGTAGCGATGTGGCGGCGACGTCGATGATGAAGGCTCGTTGGCAAACTCTCCCATCCCAGATGGCGGTAAGTGGTGATACTTCACAGGAGGAGGATGATTCTGCGCAGCAGCATCGTGAGGATCGTCCTGGAGGCCGAGCGCTGAGGCCCGGGCCCCTAGAAAGTCGAGAGTCTTGAATCTCCACTTCTCGCTGAGCTGAAGAGCGGCGGCCACGGCACAGCGAGGGACTTCGCGGCTGACCACGCCGAAGCCCCCGTAGTCGCCAGCGGCGGCCGACTCGAGCCCTGGCGGCGCCAGGTCTGGGTCGATGCTGCGGACCTGCCGGGCGCCGCCAGAGGCGTCGGTAGCCAGGGCAGTGGCGGCGACAGGCCGACGCAAATCTACAAAGGCCATCGCCACCAGCGCCGCGCCCAGCCTGAGCTCGCGACGTACAGTAGCCCAAGGCCGCCACGCCATGTCCCCGGCCATCTCCGCGAAGGAGTAGCAGGCGGCGAAGACGGACAGCAGCGGCCTCCTCAGCGTGGCTGCCCAGGTGTAGTGCCCCAGGAGCATGCGCATCTGCGCGCCGGTGAGCTTGTCGGCCTCGGCGGCGTACTGGAAAGCCCGTCGGATCCTCCAGATCCGACTGCGCGAGAGGGAGATCCGCCCGGACCCCTTCTCGAAGATGAGCCCGGTGAACGGCTGCTCGTCCTGTGGCAGCTCCATGTCCTTTGTGACCAGGCCCACCGCGAGGAGGGATTCGGCGATCGTGCGACAGTCCTGCACGGTCTGCGCGCTCTGCGTGCCAATCACTGCGACTCCGACGACGTACACCGCGGCAGCGGTCTGGCCGACCAGGGAAGGAGTCGCCCGCTTGTCTTCAATGATACGGGACGGCGGGCAACCAGCGCGCTGCACGCACTGTGTGACCATTTCTTGGCAAAAAAACAGTGACCAGTTCCAACCCATGGGTAGAACGATGAGCAAGGGAGAGCATGTCAGGTCCCCGCCGATGGCGGTGTCTGGCCGAAGTCGGCGAAGGGCACCGCAGTCCAGCGGGGGTAAGACGAAAACCTCCTCCATCCCGGGAGGTGCACGCATGCGGTAGAAGCAAGCCTCCACGTCAACTTGCGAGAGGCACAGCTCGTCATTCGGCTCCAAGAGTAGCCCCTTCCAGCAGCCAGCCGTAGGCAGCGCCGTGTGCGCAGGAGGCTCGAAGAGCTGGTTGACACGACGCGTGTCAAAGATGAGCCGCAACTTCCCATCTGACTTGGGGACGAAAAATATACCGAGAGTAGATTCACGTAATGAGCCGAACTTCACCAGCCCGGCATCGTACAAGTCGGCCACGAAAGAGGCGTAGCTGGACTTGCTCTGCATCAGCTTCGCGTCGCAATGAGGCTTCACGGCGGAGACATCTGGGCTCCTCCGCAACAACCGTTGCTGCCAATCCTCCCAAAGGTCGAGCGCCTCGCCCTGCAGGATGCTGGCGCCGTCGCACTTGGCGCCGGGCGAGGGCAGCGCAACGAGGTCGCGCTGGAAGGCGGCGGGCTTCACCGGCGTCGATGTGTAGCCGGGCTTGCTGGCGCGCAGCTCCTTGAAGGCTGCCGCGCCGGTAGTAGTAGGAGCTCCGATACTTTGAGCAGCAGCTCGCACATGTTCAGAACCAAAACTTTGCCCTAGAGTGGGCGGGCATCCAGGATCAGCGCCCCCACGCCCGTGGAGGCAGTTCAGCGCCTGATGCACCTCCATGCTCCACCCGTCGACATGCCGGTGGCGGAGTAGACGAGACCGCACCGTACGACAGCACGAGCTGGGATGCCCGGTGCTGCCGAGGGGCGCCTGCGGGAGCGGCGCTGGAAGCAGCTCCCGAGGCGCGGGCATGGCGCTGTCACTTGGCGCCGCGGCCGCCGGCATCGCGGCCGCCGGCGGGGTCTCCCTTGCCCCCTTGCTGCTGAAGCCGGCGAAGCTCCGCAGCTTGACTCTCGACCTTCTTGCGAAGGCTCTCCTTCGTGTCGCCGTCGGCGCCAGTGCCCTTCGCGAGCTGGCGCTCCTCCCTCAACTTCCTCTTCTCCTTCATCACCTGGCTCTCCCGGTGCAGCTCCGTCGAGATGTGCTCCACCAAGAAAGGGGCCATCATGATGAGGCCCCTCGTCTCCCCCGTGCCCATGTAGAGATGCTCGTCCTCCGCCGTCTCATCGGCCCGGCGGGGTGCTGGGCGGTCGCGGTAGCGCCACTCCGCCATCTGCGCCCGCCGGGCCAAGAGCTCGAAGCTCACGAGCTCCCCAACGTTCACCTGATCGTACACGAGACCGAACTCGAAGGCCCGCATGGCGACTTCGTGATCAGCCACCCCCGGGTCCGACTGCGTGAGCCCGGTCTCGTGCAACCACTTGGCGTGACGGGCCCGGGGATGGCTGTCCTGCTCCGCGATGAAGCGGACGCACCAGGCCGCAGTGCGCGGCCCCAAGAGCGGCCACCCCGGCCACGGACTCTCCGTGACCTCCTGCACGGCGTCCCTGAACAGCTTCTTGCGGATCCCGCTGCTGTCCTTCGCCATCGCCAGCAGGCGGTCGTCGCGGATCACCTGCACGACGCCATCCTTCGGGTCGAGGGCCCTGAGGGTGTACACGCCGGTGCCGACCACGGCGATGGCCACGTCATCCGAGCGCGCGAACTCGTCCACCGTGGAGTGGGGGAAGAGGCCGTCGATCTCGGACTTGTTGGGCCCCGCCGTGACGTACCAGCGCAGAGGCTTCACGTCCGGGAGCCGTTCACTCCCAGTCACTATATTCACCAAGTCCGTAGGTGTCTGCGCTGCTGCCTCCGTCGGAAGAAGCGGACCCTTCTTGGACATCCTGCGCTCGGGCTGACGCTGTGGTGCCACCGCTTCCATCGCGTCCACCAACTCGAGCGCGGTGGGCACCCACTCGGAGCCGTACGCCGGTCTCCCGCCCCGGCGGAACCCAGACCTCAGCAGCACGCTCCCGTCGTTGTCCAGAAGCTCGTAGCCGCGCAGGTCCGGGGCGTCCACCAGCACTGGGTAGACGTCGAGGTCCGGGCTCAAAAGGTACCAGATCTTGCCGTCTGACTCCTGCTGAGCGCTCGCCTCTATCTCCATGATATCGCTGAGATCCTTCCGTGTGGCTGGACCAACGACGATGCGGGCCTGCCAGGTCCCGCCCCCTCCCCACTGTAGGTTGAGGCGGCGCCCGATTCGTAGAGCACTGCTGGACATAGCAGCACGTACACAGCACACCCACCAAGAAGCCGAAGGTCGCAACCAGCAGCAGTGCAGCAGGAGCCCACTGCGCGCCCAACTCCAGTACTGCGCAGTCCGTCACTTGCTGCGCGAGGCTGCTGAGCCCCCCTGCAGCTCCGATGAATCCGCTGAAGTTCGACCCGACTATGGCTCCGAGCGAAGTGACTAGGCCCCTCAGTCGGGAGTACATGTGCCGGCCGTCGAAAAAAGAGCTTGAGATGAATGCCAGCGGACAGTGGCATTGACGGCAAACGGGATGGCAGGACACGGAAGTTAGAAAACGCCGCCATATGTATGCATTTTATGTGTAATAGACATATGTATTGCATGTGGTGTATGTGCTGTATTCGGTGCTTGCGTTATATACGGCGTAACTGATCAACCCGATATGTTGATTAGGATGACGTGTATGCTGCAAACGTCGTACATCGTGTTCATATTATCAATGGCGTGCATGTTGGATGTGCTGGCGATATTCCATCTGATGTATCTGATGAATCTTAGGCGTACGCAATATAAATTGTATAACGTTGTATCTGCTTTGATTTTTTTGGGGTGGGGATCATCTTCCTGTGCCGTCCTTGGATGGGCCTCTCCCGCTTGGGCAAGTGTGGCCACAACGAAAAGCGGCCGCCCTGCCCAAGTGACACGAACCACTCTGGTCAATGAGTCAGAGCGCTGAAGAGGGTGGATGTTGCGCCATGGACTTTGGGCACAACAATAATGCTGACGCGTAGGCCTGGGCCTGGCTGGCCCAAAATCCGAAAAAAAACAGCTGCGAACCATTCCTCATTGCTCGTCGTACGTGTCTCGCGCAACAACACGTGCCGTTCTGCTGGTTAGCACGCCTGCGAGGAAACTGGAGTGACGGACACCGGATATATACCACACAGGCACTCATATTGTTCCTGCCCATCGCCATCGTCTGGCTGAACGGTGTCCGAGCACTCGCCCGAAACCATGGTCCTGTTCAGCACCGGGACGCCGGCGCAGACCTGGTTATCCCACATCTGCGCGGATACGGTAGTGCCTTCGCACATGTAAATCACGGACTTCGTTCGGTCCCACGCCGCTGGCTGGCACTGCGCGGCCCAGAGCACGTTGCCTGGCACACCAGCGACGCCCCCGCACTGCTTGCGCGAGACGAACCTGGGGAAACCAAACGGTACCGATACCGCTACTCTCCAGAGCTCTCCCGGGGTGCGTTCTGACCACGATTTCGAAGCGAATCCAGCGGTGGCGACGAGGACCTCCCAGGAGGCCCCCAAAAAGTAAAACGGGCGAAGGGTGGAGGTATGGGTACTTTCTCCTCCTCTGAGAACCAGAAGGTTCTGTCCGAGCTGGCGCCCGAGCTGGTGTTCGACCCCGTCGACGCCCGCGCCGCGACCGACGACCTGGCCTGCAGCAGCTCCACCCTCAGCGCGTCGGCCTCCCCCTGCTCCGCGGCCTCGACCTCGGCCTCGTCGAGGCAGGCCCCAGGCACGGTGCACTCCTCGGCGCCGTGGGCGCCCGCGTGGGCGGGCAGCTGCATTGCTGCGAGCGCGAGCAGCGCCAAGCGGTACGGCGCCATGCCGGCCCGAAGTTCTGTGGCGAGCTCGGCGTCCGACCGATAGGTTGGTCCTGTCTCCGCTGGGGAGGGCGGGCAAAGCTTGAGCCAAAATGGTTACGGAAAACGTTGTATCTGTTTTGATGCATCGTTCATGGTCGTGGTGTTGCTTATGATGTATATGATGTAAATGATGGATGCGTTACACCTATTGTATATGGCGTGTGTATAGTATGTTGTACATGGCGTGGTTAGATTACATGTTGTGCACGACATGTATGTGGTGCGTATTGTTGACATTGTGTGTTATCGGTGTTGTATGTGCTGTGTACAATGTGCATGTTGTATATAATGAAAGGGGTAAGCATGTTGCATATATGGTGTATGTTGATCGTGCTCTATAAGTCGTGCCCGCTGTATCTGTTGCATGTGTCGGGCCATCAGCCCTCTGGTCCCCAGTCTCTGGCTTCTCCTCGCGTATGAAGCTGACGCAGGCCCCTCGACGGGAATAGCGTTCTCGCCTGCGTTCTCGCCTGCAGTTACGTCTTGGCCGGGAATAGCGTCTTCGCCAGGATTAGCGTTTTGACCAGGAATGCCGCCTTCACCGGGAACAGCAACTTCACCGGGACTAGCGCTTTCACCTGCAATGTCGTCTTCACTGGGAATAGCGACTTCACGGGGAATAGGTTTTGACCAGGAGTAGCATCTTCACCGGGAATAGCGCCTTCACTGGTATTAGCGCCTTCACCTAGAATAGCGTCTTCACTGGGAACACGTACTCGCTGGGAATAGCGTCATCACCAATAACAGCGCCTCCACAAGGAATGCCGTCTTCACCAGGAATAGCGTCTGTACCGTCCCGTTCGACAACAGCGCCTTCAATTGGAGTAGTGTCTTCGCCCATGTTACAGTCTGCGCGGGAGATGGCGATGCCGTATGCCGTCTCGAGCAGCGATCCGAGGGGAATAGCGGCTTCCCCAGGAACAGCGTCTTCACCAGGACCAGCGCCTTCACCAAGAATAGCGTCTTCACCCTCGGCTTCGGCGAGAACGGCTTCAATTGGAAAAGCGTATTCGCCCGTCCGATCGCCCTCGGCCAATCGCGCCTTCGCAAAACAGCTTCGTCCTCGGTGCGAACAGGGAACCCAGGCGACCGGGCCAACATGTAGAATCACGTAGATATATAGAGAGATAGAGAAAACAAGAATAAAGACAGAGGGATATAGAGAGAGACACAGAGAGAGGGGCGAGGCAGGGGTGGGGCGGGTGGGGACGACTGGCAGGGACGGACAGGGACTGGAGGACAGTAAGGTGATGGATACATGTAGGGAATCGAACTCCATACACCGACGCATTTTCCGGCCCTGCATTGAAAATTGCACTGGAGAGCGGATCCTGGTGTATACATTTTTCGTTGTTTCCCCGGGACATCGGGGAAAAAAGCATGCACCATACCACCCAGCATCGTCCCCGACCCTCGCAAAATCCTGGGATTGAAAAGCAGCCCGCCACTGGTAATGTATAGTCATGTTCCAATTTCCGAACATGGTTAGCGCCGCTTTCGTCAGGTTGTCTTCGTCCTCCGTTTCGCCGCTCGTGCTGGGTGGCTGCGCGCCAGAGAGTTCAGAGGGCACCGCCCCTCTGCGACGGGTCCCTTCGATCGGCAGATCGGCTGCCATATTTCTGCCGACGCGCTTGCCTTCCCGTTGGCCTGTGATTCATCCCAGAGGCCGATGCAACTGTCAGGAACTGTTGCTTAGCGTGTCACGGCGACGGTCCCTGCGACACGCCATGCCCTGCGAGCGGATGGCGTGTCGCTCCGCTCCGCTCCGCGGGAGGCGGGAAGAAGCTCGGGACGTTGACGCCTTGGGAATCGGGACGCGGATAGCGTGTCGCGCCGAAGCGCGGTGGGCCAGAACTGGCGGCGCGACACGCTAAGCAAACGTTCCTGACCTCGGAAGCTTGGCAATGAACAACAACACCAAGACACGGGGTTGCCTCAACCGGGAGAAGACGATCCCAGATTTTGGTGTTGGTGGTAATCTTTCGGCCATCTGGGAAGCCTTGGATATCATCACCATCGCCTAGAACGGGATCATCATCCCGCGGTGGAGGCACACCAGCGAGACTGGTGCTGGTGCCAACCTCTGGGTCTCCTGTGACCGTGATCCCCGCCCTCCTGATCCCGAAGCTTGCCATCGCTCCGACGTCCACTCCCCGTGCTTTGTTCGGCTTCGTGCGTGTGCTTGTGCTGCTCGTTGATCCAGGGTGCTGCTCGACGGTCCTCGCCGAGGAAAAAAAAAACCGTCCGAGCGATGCCAGGGAAGCCCCAGAAAGGATGCGCACACCACAGCCCAAAAGATCGTCGGGCGGCGGCTGCCTGCGCGATGAGCTCCTTCGTCGGCACCAGCACCAGGCCGGCCAGCGGTGTGGACGAGCCCTTGGCCTCCGCGTCCACGAGCAGCCTTATCGGGATCTGAAGGCCCACACGCGTCAGACATCATCCGCCCTGCTACTATCTTCCTCCTCCTCGGCTTTCTCCTCCTCCTCCTCTTCCTACTCGTTCCCTTCCTCGTCCTCGCCCTCCTTGTTCCCCATCCGCCTTCTCCGCCTCCTCCCCCAGCCTCCTCCAGCCCGTCCTCGTCCTCCTCCTTACCCCTTCCTCCTATGCTACTCATGCTGCTGATGCTGATCATAGTGCCGCCAGTGCTGTTGCTACTGCCCCCAATTCCTCCCTCTGTGCTGTTCCCTACCATTTCCATCTCCCAAGCCCCCAATTGCACACGACACGAATTCACTCCTCAAGCATAGACAC